GCACAGTTCGCATAACCGCGCCCAATGGCGCTGAACGAATGTCCTTCCCTCAACACTGTAGATTCAGGTCCAGGGTAGCCGGTATGTAATTGAAGATTTCTTTATTAAATCGCACACCTGGATGTAGGGAGTTATTCACTTTACAATCGGAAAGGCATGTTGCTCTATACTTGCATTTGCTAAATCGTTAAAAGCACTTTTCTAAGTTCTAATTTCTTTTTGTCTTGCGTGCTTGGCTAGGTTGTGAGTCAATCAAACCGCATAGTCGTGATTTGTCAGGTAGTTAGTCGGTAGAAATTGGCTTGTGCGGTTACTCACAGTGAACTATCCGAGGTTGTTGCAATCCGTTTGTCTGTCTAACCTACGTACGGGACAGTTCAAGGGAGTAGTTTACGCGCCGACGAGGATTAGTTAGGAGCGACGCTTGTTTAGTTGCGTCAACGAAATAGGCCGAATTGGTTATCGGCGAACGATCCGGAGCAGTGGACGGCGAATCTGAGGCAGAGGATGAGATGGTATTAAAGACAAGTAGAAAGGTTTTTGTACAACTCTATCATGTTACGAATAATCAAAAACATTTAATTACGAATCGTCAGCGGTAGTGTCGATCAGGTGGTTGTTTATTCTTTTTCGGTTAGGAGTTCGCATTGTTGTCATTATTTTCGGGCATATGATGTACATTTTCCATTGTATGTGCACCGTTTTGCAAAAGCACAGATTTCCGAAATAATCAGTTATACGTATTTTACAACACTTCACATAATCAACCTTTATTTGTCCTTCAGGTATTGTATGACATACGTTTACGATCTTTCGTTCTATAAACAGTTGATCTGGTAATTTGTTCCTGCGAGGGACCCTGAGTTTGTTATGGTGTCTTCTGGTGTTACAGAGTTCTCGCATGTGAAATATTGTCCGCAGTATTGGAGGTGGTTTCAGTGTAGTACTCCCTAAGTCATAAGAATATAAATTCTTAATCGGCGGTAGGATAATGTGTAGAGTCCGAGTATTTCACAACGTCTTTCGTACGGATGCATTAGTATACTAGATATCATTCTTGTTGCCCTGTGCTGTATTTTATCTAGCTTTTCCGTTTCCCATTTGGTTATCGGATGAGAAGCTTGGGCGTCCTATTTAAGGATTTGTGTAATGAGCGAGGCAAATAGGCGAGGGACGGTTCCTCCGGACCATGTGGAGAAAATGCGTCGTAATATCCTGAACATACGAAGTACGGTACGGTACAATTTCTCGGTATTTTCTGGTGACCTCATATCATATCGCTAGAGCACTACTAAGTCTCTGACAGATATGCTAGTGTGGAGCAACCGGCAGTCCAAAGTGTATGATCGATTGGCTGGATATCTGGTGATACGGATGGACTCCGATTTGCTTGATTTAAGCGGGAGTTGCATTTGAGTGAACATGTTGACAGTCGATCTAAGTTATGTTGGAAGCGAGCACAGTCGTCCTGGTTATTAACGACCCTCTAGATTTTCAAATCATCCGCAAGCAGGACACATGTTGACTGGAACTGCCGCGGGAGATCGTTGATATGAAGCGATATAATACTGACCCAATTACAGTTCCTTGATGCACGCTACTGGTAGATAGGAACTGGTCTGTCAGACAGTCATCGACCTATTCTTTAAACGTCCGTCACACAATAAACACTTGTAACCAATGAATTGG